GTGTGTAGCGGGACGTTCCGTTGAGTCGCTTGATACCGCATGTGGTCCCAACGACGAATGAGTTGTGTGATGATGAGTACCAGCTGGTGGACCGGTGGTCGATTCTGTTGAAATCGAACTGTGTGTAGCGGGACGTTCCGTTGAATCACTTGTTACTGTAAGCCAAGCTTCCGTCGATTGGGTTGTTGCCCCATGATCCGTGGGTGCTAGGTTAGTAAATATCTGGGAACCTTCTGTACTAAGTTTCACCATTTCTCCCCCTTCAGTTGTTCCACTGGGTTCACTAATCTCGGTATTCGTCGGTTCCATTGTTGCAAAGATTGGTGATGTGTTCCAGACAGTTGATGATGACTGCGCATTGATGACGGATGTGAACGACATTTCAGCCCAAACGGTTAAAACAACCAGTACAAATTTCATTTCCCATTGCTGCATTGACATCAATGTGAGCATTGTGGCGCAACTGTGCTTTCCAATCTACAAAACAAACAGTTGATATGGGTGAAAGGTTGAATGAATAACACTTGTGAAGTGACCAAACGCGTTAGAATAAAATACTAAAAATATTGCAGATATCGGTAGAACAAATCTTCGGCTTAGCAAATGGAATTTGAATGACTCTTCTTCCGATTTCTTTGATTATGTTCACCGTTTGACGGAATTCGGCTACGTTTGTTCCTTTTTTTTGTTTTTTGTACTCTTTTAATGTTTCAAACGAGAGAGTGACCCTATCATGCTGACAAAACAGGGTTCCAACTTAAAGAGATAAATTAAAATTTCTCTCACAAAAATTTTTTGTTCCTACATAAACTAAGCTGAGATAAGTCCAACCCAGAGAACTTACTAGTTGCAATGTAAAAGCTGAAAGGGGATGGTAGTATAAAATCCAAGCATCTGCCAGTGGCGTTGTCTGACACATTTGCCATCAAGTTCCGAAAACGAAAGATCTGTGCAAACGGCGGGTTGTGCAAACCATTTGTTCGACTCCAAATGAGAGTTCACAAAAGCATGCAAAAGTGGTGCATATGCAGTTCCCTTTTCAAGGGGACCACGAAATGAACTACTCAATTTACACTTACGGGAGTGACCAATTTCATATCTCCACCATTGCGTTTCCATGTCCCGTTCACAAGCCATTCTGTCGATTCCATTTACCTCTGAGATGAATTGCACACCAGTAACTATCCAGTGGTTGCGCAAACATTTATTTATCCACGAACAAAAAGATACAGAGAACAACCAGGTAGCATTCACCAAGGGTTGAGAAACAGAAGCCACCCTTTTGGATCATCGATGTGAGAAAGACCAACAGCCGTGCTGTCTTGAAGCATCTCGAGAATGCTGGGTAAAACTTAAGAGAATAAGATGAATACTAACAGCCAGTTGTAATCTCGTGTCCTTTCTTGATCGCTTTTATACGCAGGACTGCGTGGTCTACAAACGGACTTCAAGTTTTGCTTTTACAATCTATCAAACTTTCTGAAACAAATATAATCAGATCGCTTTTATTTGGATAGTATTAATCATTGGTCTAATAAAGTCGTTCGCATATTCTTGGAACATTCCGTTTACATGGTCCTGTGAGAGTATAGTTCTGATGGATTTTGGTGCTTGTGTTTCTATTACTGGTTTCACCCCCTTTTGAAAGTTGACTATACGTTTGTATGCTCCATAAGCAACAAAGGAAGTTAAAGTATTCATTTACTGGATTCTAGTAAATGAAATTTTTCTAATTCCACGTCCCTCAATTGGGCATCTGAATTTGCATTTCGATTACTTCTACGTTCTTCGGTTTCTGGAAAGTTAATAATAACAATACCGGCATTTTTTGTGAAAAGATTACTTCACTGTTTTGGTTTCACGGTGAACACAGATCATGATATTGTTCCAAACAAAACTTTGATCCGAACTCACGCGGGTAAATGGAAATAAACTACCACCAACTATACCCAGCGTATAGTTTGCAAGATTCTACATCGTTTTTTGGACAAAATGTTACCATATAAACAATAGTATACTTTGCCAGATTTAGGTTATACTCCCTAAAAATAGATACAGGTTTAAATCCATTTACACCAAAATTGAAAACGACAAGCACCAGTAGCCGTATAAGACTGTACCGATCGTTTGCCAAGGAAATTGATGTTCACCCATCACACATATACACCATGCACTCATTCAATGTTTCCCCACCATGACCTTCTACTTGAAATACATCCCTTCTGTAACCCACCCCAGGTGATAATTAATCTATCATACCAAAGAACCAGCATACATATTCAATTTTCATGTGAGAAAAACTGTTAAACTGACTGTGTCGCTGGTATTACAAATTTTGTTTTAAATCCTGTCTTTAACGACGAAACGATACCCTATAATAAAGACGGTGAGGCAACAATGGTGCATTATAAAATGTCCTTGAATTTTTCGGTGATATTCCACTCTTAAATCTTGACAATATTTTCTCATTGGCGCACCTGTTTTGGTCACCACTATTGCACAGTAATTTAACATTCCGCTGAAAAAGAAATTCAATTCCGATTGTTTACAATCTATTTTATAAATCTATCAATTTTAATCTCGTTCCAAAGCTGTTACTTCTTAGTTTTTCTCAAAATCTTTTGAAGCGTTACATGTTAAACCATAAACATACTTTTATGTATATCACAAAATGTAATGTTGTCTGCGCATGAATTAAAGACGCCACTATATATCCGCCTATCACAATATCAACAAGCCGTTCAATATTGTTATAAAATATTCACACATTGCCTTACTTCACTACTACTTCACTTGACGTGAACTTCTTTGGGTGTTCATCGTCAATGAGGCAAGGGCTCTAAATGTCAATGGACATAAAATGTAACTGTGATGGGAGAGGCTGAGAAAGCAGTGCACAAAACAACTTCAGGAAATAAACTGGCCTAATTCACATACAAGTGTGTTTTAAACTCTATCACCACGCATGCCGCCATTTAATCATCCAGAAGCTTATTCCACGAGTTCATGTAATGTAGTTCGCTTTGAAAGCGTGTGTTTATATTCATGTAGAGCTACTTTCGACCATTTAAAACCCACAGTATCCTGAAAAGTGACCTGATTTTTACATGTTTATATACCTCAATCATATCCCCGCTCTTGTTCCTTCCATAATGATAAATGATATAATGAACGGAGTCCATTTGTACACCGTAGTTCTTTGGTACCTTACGCTGGGCGCATAAACGTCCTCTGCCTCCAAAACTTTATTGTTTCGATGAGTGGCCATGCCTAGGATTAGAGACAACATTGCATGTATGGTTTAGAAAACCCTTTATAAATTGATGCTGGTCCCCCTACTTCTATGGATTTTACTACGCGGATGAACTAATGAAGTACCATAGATGTCTTAGTGGTACCCGAAACGCACTGATGGGAGGGTTTTGAAGAGTCGTGGATCAGTACACCAAAGTGCATAACTTGATCTACGTTTTCTGGAAAAACGGTAAGTTTCAATCGCTCAGTTTGACGGGCTAGCAACCCTATGGATACCTGCTTACATTTCCCCAAATCTAATAGCGATTCCCACTTTTCAGCCCAACTTCCAATATCAGGCAAATGTTACGGTATGTTTGAAGTTGAGGGGTTACCTACGTGCTTCAAATTAACAGCAAGAAGAATGATATAGTATGGTTTACATTAGAGACTTATTGAGGAGTAAATGCTTCTCCCCACTTTTGTTGCAATTATTTCGGTCTTCCATTCATAATTTTAATTATGAACTACGGACGATTTAGCCTTTGATTAAACTATTTTATTTTTTGTCTTCATTTTACTTCCTTTTATTGAATATACAAAGATACCATTTTCAGGAAGGGGGAAGCGGCCAATCAAACAACTGCCATTCAACACACAATGGGGAAATTAAGGCAGTGGTGGTGAGATTCGAACTCACATCCCCGGGGTGATAATTTGGTAACGTTACCACCGGGTCACCAACGCCCTAACTGACCTCACTACCCTCAAATTCGCCAACTCTTCATGTGATCTTTCCAATATGCTAGGCCTTTGAATTGATTGTGGTCTTTATCCAAATCCAACCGGATATGTTCAATGGGTTTTCATTGTGCTGAATTCATTTAGTTTTGATACTACGATGATCGATGCCAAATTCCTATCTAAAATTAACTCAGGTATATACCTGTGGATTTTGACTGACACTAATATCCGCAGCTCGTGTCGTTTTTCTTTGATGTGCTTGAAACTGACGGTGCCAAACATTTAGCACTTCTCACAACGAAATTATCTCTTATTTTTAAAGATATAATTTTATTCCCATTGCGAATCAGAAAATTGTGTAAAACCATTTCTCGACTCCACGTGTTGCATCCAAATAGTTCAAACACATTATCAAAATGGCATTGCGGTCCTTACGCACATTTTCTCTATCGAGCAGTGCGAGTATTTGCGTGGGCTTTGTGCTGAAATTTGAACAGTTGGTAGCACTGCTTGTAACCACATACAACATACAACCAGTCAGTTGTATACCGGACAACAGTCACATGATTATAGATCACGTCCAGTGGCATAATTCTACTCAATCGGGTCCTTCGTGCGAAGTGAGATCTCCATTCCCAACTGTATCCACTAGGCTGAACCCTTACCTCAAATTTATTTTTGGTTTGTTACATTCACTGGTCTATACTGCTGGTTACCATGGTCAAATATTCAAGTTGCCATTCACGAGAAGTCATACTTTACCTCCAAAATTAATCACGGATGACATCATGAGACTTACCTTTTGTGGTAATACACTATTTTCACTTTCAACTGGACCCTTACGCTCACAGTCCAAAGGTTTATATATGTATTGAAAACTAAATAACCCACCACGGTGTGCTGAGGGCACATTATCCAACACGGCTCCAAACATATCCAATATTCAGTTCATCTAACTCGGATTAACTTAGACGTAAGGCAGAAATACAGATGTTTCTAGGTCAGTAGATGTCAAGCTGAATACAAGCACATTAAGTGTAATGTAGTTGCTAACTATGAAACAGAAGTTCGTGATTACAAACAAATATTTCATATGTTAATGAAAATTAAACTGAGCAGTAAGTGCGAGTAACATTTAACCAAAAAGTGCTACACTGAATGTCCTTCTACGGCTGAGTCAGCTACATCAAAACGATTTGTGTAGTATGCTAATGATCATCCTCAATGTATTTTGGATTGCTACATTTCCCAGTAGCATTCGTTAGAATTTTGCAATTCAGTGAGCAGAGTGAACTGCCTGTACACAGATCTGAGTTTTCTTTGCAATCCAAGTTATGCGAAACTGATTGAAATCGGCTGAATACAAGGCAAACGCAGCACTTTTTCAAGCATTCACGCTTCATGGATCTTTGTCGTCAAATCTTTTGTTCATCTGCCAGCGGATTTTCATATTCGCCGTAACAAAAGATTTTCGCACCTTTGCTCTATTTTCAAAAGCTCACTAGAGCGAGGCTCCAGATTGTGGATCCAACATGGGCATAACACACGATGCCAAAGCAGCAAAAATACGTTAATCATTCTTCGCATATTGTCCACTTTACTATTCTATGTCCATCTTAATACAGTGCATTGAATCTGCCTCCCACTCTACTGATCCAAATTGCTGACATTTATCATACTTCGTTTGACCATAACGCAGTTTTCCCCTTTCTATTAACATTACTGCAGTTCAGTTCAATTTGCTACTCTCAATGACTATCTTAGTAAGAATGCTTCCGTGATGTAACTATGCAATTTGTAAAATACCTGATTGCCATTTCTTTGTTGTTGTGTGATTTTTTACCTTAGACATGCAGATTAACTGACTTGAAAGAAAATGATTTTATTGCATTTAGCTCAGGAATTTACTGATAGAATATTGGAAATAATGTTAACCTGAGCTCTCCATTGCTCTTGTGGTCAGTACAGTCATTATTGCACGAGTTTGATCTGGAAAGTGTATCGCTAGTTGTACTGCATTCTCCGTACTTTTTCCACATTATCACCTCGTGTTCTCCTTCAATAAAGGGTACACTCAGATGGGTATTTCGTATTTTTTTCCGCGATTTCCCCATTTGTCGGTCATACTATACGTAACTTGTTAGGGACGTTTTGACGTCACCCTAGTTGTCAC